TATTCTTTCGGTATTTTAGGCAGCCTGAGGGCGTCATAAGACTCACTAAAACTAATCCGTGATATGTTCCACGTCTTAAAATCAAAAACGAAAGCCTCATAGCCTAGTTAGATGTTGACATTAAAATTTCGTATGAATACCGTTACTTTTAAGCTCGATGGAAGATGGAATGGTGTTGCGCATCGCAAAATTTTGCAGTTTTCATAAATGACTTCTTGCGTGTAAAATTGAAAATTTATTCGAGCGGAAGATTTAATCTTAACAAATATATAACATAGTGACAAAACAAAACCGCAAAGGTGTGATGGTCAGTTATACTTGATTAGTTAAACAAACTACGCCGGAGAGACATACAAGTAATTCTCCCTACTCACAAATTGATCCACTTCTAAATTTACAAAGTCAATGTCGGAACTTCAGCGCAAAACTGACGAAGAGGAGAACAAAGTTTGAAAAGATTTTTGCTCTGCGAAAATCATTCTCTTTATAGCTCATAGCCTATTTATAAAGTATCGGATATTTTCGTTCCTTAATTCAAAGAGCAATCATTATAGCCTCGAGGCACTGATTGAGATCATGAAAGATTTCGGATCTTAATGAGAGAGCTATTTTGCACGCGTTCTCAAATAAATCAATTATGTTCGTCTTCATGAAATGTAAGTGATTCAGCTTGTTAAAACAAAGGCCCCATGTATGGTTATTACCAACAACCCATTGCTAAACTAATGACATATAAGGATAGGATAACTATTAAATCTTGAGGAATGATCACGACTTAGACGACCGAAAACAGGCTCGCATGACTCCAGCCTTAAAATAATTCGTGACCACAACTAGCTCACAAAGAAAAACAAAGAGTTGGAAAGTCGCGCAAAGTTTCCTGCTCCTTTCCCCTCGACTTTTGGAGCATAGTTTTCGTAAAAACGTCTGCTGTTTCCAACTTCTGTTCCGAGTTCAAAGAAATACGCTAACTATGTAGAAGTTTTCCTTTTTACCTCTGAATACGTCGACGATTTCGTGCACGCTGCTGCGCTTTGCTACGATGGAATGCACAGCTACCCTTCTGCGTTCTCTAACGTTACCTTTAATGGTAGACTTGTGGTTTGTCTTTAGTCTTGTACTCGTCTAAAACGTCCTTACAGGCAAACAGATACTGTCATTATTGTTTCACTCACACAAACAATTCCCCGTCGGTAGATATATTGCGAGTTGGGCAAAGCACACCACGACACCAGAGAGCAAGTGGACGCTACTGAAGCAAAATCGTGCAGCGCAAATGAAGCGTAGTAAACTATTCTCAAAACTAATGTTCATGCGCCAGCCTCTGTTAATCGGATTTCTTTTACAATAACAAAAGACGATTAATAGGCCGGCAAACCCTAAGCAAAGATGCATAGAGAAAAATATAGTCAGGCAAGCTACCATTATTATATTGATGTACCGCTTCTTCGCCGTCTTGGCCCAGATGACTGTAAAAGATTCAAAGTTTAAGTTGCAAGATTTGTAAGTTCGGGATCAATAGTGTGCTAAGTTGTCAAGGCACTTTATTTTGCAAGTTTTCTTCGTGTTTAACATGCCAAGGCGCCCGCAAAGACTCTACTGAAATGCCAGTGGCCAAATTTGCGACGACGAGCAAGTGCATGCAGTTTAGAGAAATGCGCTACAATGTATTTTCTTTTCAAACATTTCTAAAGTCACGCGAGAATACCTTTAACTGGACAGGTAAAACTAAAAATATTATTATGGTTAGATAGAAAAACACAAAAGAGACAGTACTAGACCAGTCGAGAACAAGGACCGGGCCAGAGATGGGGAAGATTAAAACAGATTCTTTGGTCAGACTTGCCTGGATGTACAGGTCGAGACGATTCTTACTTAAAATCCCCAGTTGCAATTAGAGTATTAAACGAAGCAGGCTCCTATTTCGTTGTGACGATGTGCTCCTGAATGACATCCCTCTACGACCTTCCCTTCCTAATTTCAGTTTTTGATTTCTATGCCAGAATAAATTCGCGAATAACATGGCGTTTAAGGATGACTCAATTACGATTTTTTTTGTTTCTTCACTGTAGTGGTAGCGGTTAAATAGCGATCGTTTCAAGTTCATTTTATAACAGGCCGGCAGAAATTCATATCAGATAGCACACTCCAGACAAGCTATGGTTCATTTTCAGATTCTATGTTCTTAGACAAGGTATACAGTTTCTTTATGATAATAAAGATTAATTTCCAATTTCTAAAGCGTTTTGGCGACGACGTGTCGGTAAACAAGCTGTCTGTTTTAACCAAGAACTTGGCAGCCAGTATTACGTTCACCTCCCATGACCCTTAGTCTTTTGGTCCAAGTAACCATGGTAACAGAACATCGAAACTAGTGTAAGCTACCAACCTTACGTGGTTATGTTCAAACAGTCAATGGGAAATGAAATGTGGAAGGAGTATGCGCAGAAAAGATAATGATTAAAAGTTTGAGAGGTTTGTAAGTCACTCGTCTCAGTCTCGTGATTTATAAACTTTTCTCGTGTTATCCCAACATCCTGCATGGGTTATTGCACCGTTAAACCAATAGAAAGTGCGGTCTGTTGCTTAAATTTTTTTCACTCTTTTCATTTTCACGAACATTTCATGCTTTTCGAACAATACACAGGTAGGCGCGAGCAACACACAAACACACGCGAGTGTGTCCTCCACGCTGGCTACGCTGTAGGGAACAGTCGGGAATACTGAATGATGAGAGCGTCGTATCCAAAAATAAACAAACGAACAACTGAATAGCATCTCCGCTTAGGACTTTATCTGTCTCATGCATAACCATGTTATCTCGTTAAGTACCGTTATCAGTAAAAGAGCTACCAGCAAATTAATTAAACGCGGATTTTTCAGAAAAATGGGTAATAAGGGGCGTGTTCCTTGTCCCAAACAAAACATTTTAACATCTAGTGCTTGATCATTTTCTGACAAGAGAGGATAAGTTTGTGGCCTCTCTTGTTTGTAATAAAAGAGAACATTTTAATGAAATTTTTCTGGAGGCTCTCACTATTCCCTGCTTAATCAAAATTCAAGGTTAAAAGGTATTTAGGATTAGCCGGTTTTTTTTTTCCCGGTGGGATTGTTAAAAAAAAAAAGGAAGCGCGAAAGTCTACACGTCTGACGACCTTCGCCTGGCTGAGCTCAGTGCTCCCACCGAAAAGGACCTGATTATTGCATAGCTTAAAAGCAACGGAACGCAAAGTTTTGTTAAAAAATACTGCTCAAATGCTGATGCAAGAATACAGCTTTGAAACAATCTTGTGAGTAACTGAGAGGCGACTTCCATGCTGTAATTTTCTGATACATCGCCATGCTCAGCAAGCCGCTTCGTTTTCATTTTTTATTCTCCTGTATATCATTGAAAACAAAAAACTTACATAAGGTTTTTCAGTGCATCAGGTTCTTCACTAGTGCCTCTCAAAGCTACCGCGAGGGAGAATAGCAATCGATAGTCTGTTCACACACTTTTAATTGTAATTATAACGTCACTGTTGTGCGTGGGATGTGTACATAACTCTGACAGCGGGAATGTTGAATTGGTCGACATGCTGGAAGGGCCTTCAAGCGCATTGACAAATGGAATGATGCAGAGAGGCACGTTCACAGAACGAACGATTGAAGAAGAGCTCTTGTCTTCATCAAAGCCTGGAGTTTAGGCGTATAAAATAGTGTAAAATAAAAGTTTGAGGGCTTGTGTGGCCAGTGCTTTTCGTTCATAGAGGGCTGTGATATCGTTGCAGCTAAACAAGACAAACTGTTGTGCGCCGGTCTAATATCTAAATTCTGCCTGGATTAAAATTACAATTAGTGTATCGCGCTAACAAATCAAGACATTAGCCAGAAGTAATTACAGGGCGACCACGATTTATTAAGTAATGTCGTGGGAACATCATCAAAATTCTAACCCGAAGACACTGCACACGAACTCTGCCTTTCATCTCTCGGTCACTTTTTCGGTGTTTTCGTATCTGTGAAACTGCTTGAGTAGGTGGGTAAGTTCTGACACCATAGAACACGGAAAAAAAACTGCTGGGAACTGACTACCAACACTGGAAAGGAGGGAAAATCTCTTTGTACAAGCAGAATTTGAACACAAAATGTAGCCATGGCCGCATTCATTCGAGCTATTTAAACGGTGTCAACTATTCGTGTGGCAACGATTTTGTGAGAAATGAAAAAGACTTGCGGTGCATTAAAAATGTTTTTGTTCTGCGGTCTTTGGAATTCCCATTTAATTTTTGAGTCGTCTTTTTCGGTTTTGAAGAAAACTCAATTCGAAGAGGATATTTTTTGAGCAGCTTGCATCTCGTGCGCGCGACGTGAAAACCAGTTCAGGTATTGTATTGGTTGTTCACGGAAGGAAGAACATACTCATGATGATAAATGATTGCTTGTGTACAGTACAGAGGAAAACCTTGACGATAGATACAGAACAGTGCTACAAACACAGACCACCGTAGCAGTAGCAATGGTGTCAAATAAAACCTCGTTAAGCGCCCTCGAACTCATCACTTGACGCCATTTCTAACTCATAAAGATTTCCATGAATACAACACAAAAAATGGAAAGTCTGATAAAGGGGCAGTGATGTGAACAAACCCAAATTTTAAAACTGCAGCTGGAACCGCAACGGCCATTTTCTGTGTGCCCTTTGTCCCTAAAATTAGCCATTAGTTCGGGAAAAAGCTTCCATGTTAAGCGCATTTCATTTCAAAGGAAGCAGTGTTTACTAATTTGAACGCAAAACTTCCTCTGAAATTGTTTTCGTTTATCTCTTTTCCGCCAGCTTATTAATCTTTAATCGCGTTTTATCCAGAATTACATTACAGGCATAGAGTAAAAGATGCAATTGGGAGATAAAACGTGCAGCCGGCTAAGCGCCTTTATTGCCTTGGCCATCTGCAAATTAATGTACCATGAACAAAACATTATTTCACACATACGTGCGCGTTAGAAACGTAATATCTTACCTTTAATTTGAACTACGAGCAACCTCCAAGTCCACGACCAAGCAGGCCTTGTGATCGGTGTAGATCTCCTGTCACAAGTGAAAAAATCAACGGAAATTAATTTTTGCGTCACGTGAAGTAAGCGTTTTCAACAACAGCTCGAAAGTGCGAAGAGTTTTCGTTTGTTCTTCCTCACCAGGCCGAGGCAAACGTTTCTCTCCGACAAACAATGCATCTTTGGCTTTCAAATTAAACCTCTCTAGATAGCTGATTAATCGTCATGCTATCGGAAACTTTCGGGAGACTACCCTACCTAATAAGCGGCGAAAAAATGGTCAGGAAGTGCTAATAATCCAACAGGAAAAAAAGCAGTTTGTCTGGAGAGCTGTTGAACTGTCGCGCGGCTATTCCTGTGGACGACCGTAGTTTGAAGCGCTGGCGCAAACGTCTTGGTCTTCACGTTGTCCCTGTGTTTTCAAAGCCTGCTGTGAGGAATTTGCTGTATGATTCGTGAGTTAAGCAGACTTTCAAATTAGGTACCCAACCTTACCTAGCAAAACAATCAGCCTGACAGCGGGAAGTCGGTTGAAAATGAAAACAATGACTCAGGCCTTTGACGAGAAGTACACCTCTTAAATTTAATCACGCATAATTTCACATCAAAAGCAAAATGCCCTTTCCCCAAATGAATCTTTCTTCTAGGTTTGATGCAGTTTATTTTAAGGAAACAAGGCTTATCATATGAAAGTTTTTGTGTTAATAAAGTCGGTCGACCTATTGAGGTCGGATGCAATATGATCTAGCGAGAAGAAAAAAAAAAAACTTTCCACACCAAAAGTTTTCAAAATTTGGATGAGTGTTTCGGTGCTTCGCGGGAAACCACATTGGCTCATTGTTCCAACAGTTTTAAAATGATTCATTCATTGAAAAATACTAATTATTTTATAGAACATTGTCCACTTAAAAACATAAATAGATTTTGTGATAAGTAGGTTGATATTTATAAACAATTGATAAATAGTAGCCCAAGTGACCCTGCTTACTCAGCATTTCACCCATTGTGCACTCCCGTGATCTCAATTGAAATTCTCCACACAGTTTGCTATACATTTCGTGTAATTTCAGCTGCGACAGTTTGGGATCAGATAAAGCAATCTTCCCATTGATGGTTTCCTTTTTCTCATCTCCTATCTTAGTGAAAAGGTGTGCTTTATTTTGAAGAGAAATTACTTCGTGATCACCTCCAAGGCTTTTGTGAGACGCGGTAAACGCGTTAATTGATATTAAACGATTTAAGGTTTTGCCAACGCCTGATAATATGCTTTGAATTAACAGGTAAAGCTTAACCTTAAAACAAATATGCCACATTTAAGACTGCCGGCTGATGATGCTAATGCCATAGTTAGCATAATTGAGGAAGTTGCTGTTTCCGCTATCGGTTGATGAGAGATATAAAAATCAGCATGAAGTTTGGAAGAAAACAATTATGGGAAAATTCTTGCAGATTGAAGCCGGAAAGATCAGTATTTCACTTCACAGCAATCTTGGCTCCCGCAGAAACCTGTGTTCCGAGATTTTAACACAGATTTCAAGTGATAAATTTATCGAGTTTTAAGGCTCCTTCCGGCAAACATACGCTCTCTCGACAATAAGCGAAATGCAGTTACTCCATTTCTCAAAAGACGATGGCCAATCGTTTGTTATTAGCTTTCCTGGTTGGTGGTCGCTGTCATAATGAAGTGTCGGGCGACAAACCCTGTTTGCAACTATTTTTGTGCAATTCTTCCCAGCCTGCGGGATAGAAGTTTGCGCTTTATTTTTAAAACGGAGGCACCCGCGAGGATAGCGCAAGGGATGAGCCAGTCGCAAGGGGAGGAGTATTCGTGTTTAATAAGAAGTGATCCTGGGAAAGGTCCACTACCAAAGAGGTGGACTGGTGACTAGAACATGTATGCACCGGCAGCATAGTTAATCGAGGGGACAGGGAAGAGTGACAAGCTCCAGTCATAAAAAAAGTTTGAGATTTTTTATAACGCCCGGATAAAATGAGAGTTCCAATGTTAGGTCTCGAAAAAAAAAAAAAGTCTTTTTTTCCCACGAGAGAAAATTGCAATTTACAGAAATAATCAGCTTGCTCGTTTATCCTCTGCCTCGGAATTAAAGAAGAAGAAACACTATGCTGATATCTTGTGATGGAGTAGAGACAGTACTGAAAACTGACGAAGCCAATACTGGAGTGGGTTAACTCCTAGCTTCCACAAGCTGATTAACATGTCACTTCTCCCTAAAATACCCCTACATTATCCGGAAACCAGATTACGAGAAAGCCCAAACTAATCAGGTAGAAGTTGTTGCCTTGATCTAACACTAAATTCTCGCGACTAACTTGAAAGGAAATATGTGGCAGCTGGAGGAGGGAATTAAAAATCAGATCCAGTCGGAGTCAAAGGGTCAAGAACCCATCTATATGCTCCTGATCCTGATCGTATCAGTCTCATTTTAGACTCAGCAAGTACGACATGAAGGTTGCGGCTACCAAGGGTCCGAGTTGTGTACATGAATATCGGCCCTTTGTTCCCACCCCAGAAAAAAAAAACCCAGCTGCCTCCCCTTCCCCTCTCCCCATACATCAAAAGGGACGGGACATATCTCTTGATCACGTCATCCCACCACCCCTGGAGGGATAGGAACATATCCCTCGACCGCACTACGCTACAGAAGAACTTAGTACCTGCTGCATTTACTCGGGTTTGTCAGCGTGGAATTCATATTTGAAAAATAAAATAGTAAGATGAAAGCTGCATGCAAAGTGAATTTTTGCAAACCATCGTCCGTCGCAACTGAATCATCAAGGTCATTTCCACGCTCATACAACAATAGCAAACTGAAGTACTGCCAAGTTATTTGCACGCGGCCATTGTCATCCGCAAGCGTGGTAACTTAAACAATCGATTTGAAAAATTTGCGTCGCTAATGGGTCGCTAATTAAAAGTTTCCACAGCTCAACAATTCGACGGCGTTCATTTTGTGGCTATTTTCGTCAGACATACGTGTCGTTTACGCAATTCAATAGTCCTCAATCAGAAAAACGGAAACATTCAAACTGATCCATGTCCTGCTGGGATAGCTCAAAAGCGAAAATGGCTTACCTACGCTAAATCTCCTCAGAGCACCATTTCTTTAGAAGGCAGTATGATGTAGCTTCGAAGCCATCATGCGTAAGTGCTGTATTATCACTTGGAACGTAAAAGAATTTGACTTAAGTTGCAGCCATTTTTCTTCCTAGATAAGACAGGATTCCTTCCCAAATACAGCGTCACACTGAACTGAGTAAAATTTGCGAGGCGGTATCAAAACTGACAGAAATAGTGACTGGGAGATGTTCCATGGTCTTATGAACAGATGAGAGCTAGATTTTAAATTTGCTCGGTTCAACAAATCAGATTTCCTGGAGGTCTTGATTCAAAGCAGTCCTAGTGAAGGCACGACTGAAACAGTTTTCAGCTTTGCAAAGAAGCAGATTAGACCCGAAAACGCCTAAGTCTCATCGCCCAAGAACACATGTACTGAAACAGCAAAGCAATGCCGGCTTTTCACCTACCTCCAATCAGCCTTTAAAACTTTCAGTTTCTCGTTAAAAAAACTAAGTGATCAGCAGTTCCGTCTTGCACACACACATGCAGGAACAACTGACTTGACAACTGTTCGAAGGCCAGAATACTCAAATGAGACAGGCAGACTTTTTTTTTTTTTAAGTTTTTCTCTCCAGCGCTAGGTATTATAACATTTAAATTAATTTACAGCCAGTCAGTCTCGCCTTTAGGTCTGTTCATTGATAGAAAGGGTCAGAATCTTGTGGTTTTTATCTCCCCAGGTCAGGGTTAATAAACTCCTTCTGTCAGACCGTGCGAATGGATGTAACTGTTTCCGAGCCCTGGGTCTGAATTCATGGTCGATACCTCTCTGTCAGTTTAATTTATCAAAAACGACAGGGCGTTGTGAACTTCTCGGTGAGAGGTTATCTTGAATGCATGCAATTCTTAGTTTTCGTGCCTGGAGTAATCATATCCATTTGTTTTAATACCCTCACAGAAAGACGATTTTTTTTTCTTGTCTCTATATTTTACCATGTGGGAATTCTTCCATCGTTAACTCCTTAATTACTTTGCCAATTAATCTCTCCTGACATTTGCATCGTTTCACGACCTATTTTAAATTCAATTTTCTTGAAACATAATCACCTCAATCAAGCAAAAGTATTCCTGTTATTTTTAGGGCTCGTCTATTTCCAGTGAGAAGAGAGAATCGGAATGTCATCTCCGAAGACATCTTTTCCGAAACACAAAAATGTCTGTCACGCCTATAGAATCAAGCAAACATGATATCAACGTTTAATAGTTTCAAAGGCCATTGTTATTCTTGAACCTTTTTTGAGGTGGAGTGTTTCCGTTGGGTAAACCCGCTTATAAACCGATGAAACCGCATTAGTGTTAAGTGGATTTTCGCCTAAATAAGACTACAGCACTTAAAAGCTCTGAGAGCCTCCTGACTAAAAAATTCACCTTAAAAGCGATTTTTCTTGAGGAAAAAGAAAAGAGAAAGGAAAAAAAAAGTTTCGCCTTCTCAAATGTGTGATGTGCTTTTTTCAAGATCTCCTTTTAAAAGACTTTTTACAAAGCAACCGTAACTTTCTTGAGCTTGACTTTCCCAAGCTAGATCCGTTGCCTTTTATCACTTGTCCTAAAATCTACCTTTCTAACCCCCCCCCCCCCTTCAACCCTCTCTAGTTCGCGCACTTTTTTTCTATTTCTTTACTGACTCGTGGATATGCGAAGCAAAGGAACGAATACTAAGTGGATTCCGGGCACTAGCTCGGCCATAGGAGTCTAGGACGAGTATGGATCTTATTTAAGATGGTGGACCGATTGGAGTTAAATATAAGGTGGGTGGGGTTGAGCGGCTCAATTCTGTGTTTTGGAATCACAAGATCACTGGCTTTCAGTACAATCACTGTATATTCTATTAAATTACATTTTGCACAATACCACGAATTCACTGGTGTCAATTCGATAAACCTTTGACTCCTTGAGAGTGACTAGCATCTGATTTCTTCTTAAAATATCACCCCTGAGTCAAACAGTAAGGCCATGAGAATAAAGGAAATGATCTCCAACTAAAGAAGATCTTGATTGTTAAACAAATTCTCCTTGTCAGCACCTCAGGAAATGTACAGAGAACAGTAGGGAGAGTACAAATACTGGTGTTTTGGTGTAGATGGTAAAGCTTGTCTCTGCCTCCTCATCAACCTCATTCCCAGGGTCTCTCATCTTCCCGCCCCCTGGAGCGAGCGAGGAAGATGAGAGACCCTGGGAACGAGATTGCCTCCTCATTTTTACTGGCTTTCAACAAGACTCTGTATGTAGCCACCAGAAAGTTAACAGATTTAGTACAAGTCTTTAATTTTCAATCCCTTAAGGTAAATACAATTCAACTTCTTCGTTTTCAGTTGGGTAATATAAACCAACTGTTGTTTTCTGATCGTTACAGAGCACCAGCACAATTTTGTTACTTACATTTAGATTTGTATACGCTTAAGCTTCTGATAAAATAATGTAACCAGAAAAGCAAAGATTAAGATGTACTTTAGAACAGTGATCGCTCCCACTCAAGTCCTGTTTAACAAAATCAAAAAGCCTCGATGTTTTCACCCCCAAATTCTTAGCGCTTAATTCTCCTCGCAGTCTTCAGCAAAGATCTTACTGTCGTTAATTCTGAGAATTTAAGGCGTTACATTAACAAAAAGTCCCACAATTGATAAATTTGGTAGCCTTCCTCACCGACGCCATAAAAATGTATTAATATTGCGGGAAAAAGGTACAAGTTAGTCGTGCTGATAAAAGACAAATAATTTTGAAACACTTCTGAGTGACTAAATCAAATTGCCATCACGAGAAGAGAAAGTTCCTCTATGTACGGAACAACTTTAGCCTGGAATACTGGTAGAAATTTGAAACCTCGACTCTATAGTATAACCACTGCTTAACCCTTTAAAACTCTCAGAGGTGATTAAAATGTAACTTCTCCCTATAATATCCATACATTATCAAGCAAACAGCTACTGAGAATACTCAAATGGGATCCGGTAGAAGTTGTTATCTTGATCTAACATCAAATTCTGGTGACTAGTTTGCAAGAATGTACGTAGCCGATAGAGGGGAGAATTAACAATCAGATCTTGTTAGTCACGTTTCGATTCACGTTTAGTTCAAGTTTCACTGCATAAAATAAACAACTACCAGCCGAACTACGCTGTTGAAAACAAAGCAAAACGAAACAAAAACACTGTACTATCAATGATATGATTTCGTGCACGATTAACTAAGGCAAACACTTAAGTCTGAGTTATGATGTTTACTGCAAAACAACGGTGAGAAGGATACTCGTTCATACTTTTATCTACAGGTTTTACAAGCTCTGAGCACAACTCAAACACTGCAAACGTGCTTCGAAGAAGCGACGCCTTAGGCTCATCATATGAAGATGTAGTCGTTAAAAAAAGTGCGTTGAAGTCAATCAACTTTCCTCTTCTCCAACCTCGGCGGGCATTTCCTGATCTCCCTCCTCGGTGGTCTCCACATACTCCATCTTGGAGCCATCCACATTCACTAGTTCCAAGTTGACTTCCGCCTGTTTCACTTCCGGCACGTACACCGCCATGAGTGCTGCAGCACCCTCGGCATCTTGGGAGGTGACTCCCTCGAAGATCTCCTTTCCCGCGGAGGAGTCTTCTTCCATGGTTTCCTGAGTCACTCCAGCTATTTGATGTTGGCTGGCGGAGACCAGTGCTTCCACTGCAGCCTGTAGGGCTGAGGCGTCGTGCGAATGAGCCGTGCCTGCAGCGGCGTTGGCGAGTTGGAGCTCCACAGTGGCCATTTCTACCTCGCCGCTGGCCTGTACCACCTCAGTTACTTGCTGAGCACCGCCTTGGGCTTCTTCTTCTTCTTCTTCTTCTTCTTCTCCAGGAATCAAAGAACTGGCGTCAACAGTCGAAGCTCCTTCGACGGTCTCAGCGGCAATACCAGCCTCAACGGTTTCTTCAGTTTCCATGGTGACACCGCTGACCGCTGCAGACTCGGCTATGACGTCAACATTGACATAGCCGTCCTCCTGTTCACCAGTCTCGTCAGTCTGACTGCCTTGGTCCACTCCAGTGTGTTTCCGTTTGATGTGCTTGGTGAGCGAGGACTTTTCTTTGAATTGTCTGTTGCACACTTCACACTGGTATGGTTTCTCGTCTGTGTGGGTCAACTGGTGTCGTCGTAGGTTGTAGGGGCTGGCGAACTCTTTGTTGCAAGTTTCGCAAATGTGAAGGGTGACTTCTTTGGCTTTCACTTTGGCTTCTATAAAACACGAAACACCAAAAAATAATAGGTTGACGCCAGATCTAATGCTACTATTGCTACAATGTCACTTTCCGTTTTAGCCAGGTGTTGCAGTGTTACTCTTTCGTACGAAGATGACGCTTTTAACAGCCGCCCGAACTAAATTCTTCAGTTTCAAAACACAGTACAGACTCTCGGTAGCGGCCAGCTCCCATAAACTACGGCCTCAAAATGTCAATGTTTAAGACATTCAGCTTCACCTCTTAGGGGAGTTTCTTCAAATGGCAAACAAATAAACGCTCCTGCATTAAGACTGATTTTTCTTGCAAGTTTCAGTGGTATTTTACCCCCCTCCCCTTCGCCAAACAGGACGCTGCTCCTTTGCAGCTAATTTCCAAACATCTCGTTACTTCAAAGGTATATCCCAGGGATAATGTAGGGAAAATATAAACCGCGGTCCAGAGGTCGAAAAATCGGAACTGGGAGTCTCCCAGGACTTAGCAAGTAGGATACTGAACCACTTTTCCTTTAAAAAGTTGCGCACCTTTCTTTTCGCAGTTCAGTAAGTGCTTGCGCAGATCTCCCTTGGTCGAGAAGGTGACGTCACAGAAGCGGCACTGTGCTATGGGCTTCTCCTTGTTCTTGTTGTCGCCGCACACTTTGCGGATATGCTTCTTTAGGTGAGACAAACGTCCGAACAGATTGCCACACACTTCGCACTTAAACGGGCGCAGGTGGTCATGGCGAGTTCTTATGTGCATGGTGACGGTGGAGTCGTGACGGAAGGCCATGCCACACCTGAGGTAGAACAGAAACTAATTACAGATGGTTTCACACCCCCTAACCATTAAATTCTCAACTCTCCCCTCCAGCTACTACAACTTTCCTTGTAAATTAGTTACAAGAGTTTGGCGTTAGATCAAGAAAACAACTTCTACCTGATGAGTTTGAGTGTTCTCTTTTCCAGTCTACAGGATAATGTATGGATATTAAAGGGAGAAGTTAAATGTGAATTAGCGGAACTCGTATCTATTAAGAAAGGAGAGGAGGGCAGCACAACAATTTCATGGCTACGTTCAAAAGTGTCCTTCGCTCTACTAAGGTCCGCCTTACTTTGCCTAAGAGGTTCACGCACCACTAAGCGTGTCCCTCTGAACATTGAGCATTGTGACTTTGAGATCGAAAAAGAACAAGCAGGATTTAGAGAATAGTTTTTGTCTTTTTTAAGAATATTTTTAGATTTTTTAATATATAGGATGAATGTTCTTTTTTTTTTTTTTTCAAAGAAGATTTTCCATGATATTTCTCTTGAGTTGTGTTGAACTCGGAAATAGTTAAAGATAGGATTAGGAAGTAACAGAATGTAATCAATTAGAATGTAATCATTAGAATGAGATAATTATGTGAAATGAGATCTATGACAGATTTTATTCTAATTGAACTTATAATGCATTGTTGGAATGGAATTTTAGTGAATGGATGATAATAATAAAGTTTTAGGTAAGTTAAATGTGAATTAATCAGTTCTGGGAGTTTAAGGGTAACGCACGCTTATTGGTTGGGTGTCTTAAAATCCACAGCCAAAACACTCACAGGTGGAAGTCAGAGCAAAGCAAGATATCACAACAAGGAACTGAGAAAAAACCCACTCCGTTCGTTTGCACGAGGCTCTCAGGTGCTTCCAAGGCTGGTTGTTCGAAAGACAGGTCGAGTTAATCCAGGATTAGATATAAAGCTTAGCTTTGATCTCTACTAGAGAAGGCGTGCAATAGGCTCAACATTTTGAGGGATTTTACCGCACAAGTATGAAGAGAACTAAATATGAGTGGTAAAACGGTCAGGAAAGCTTTAAAACTGCGTCGAAAATCTCATTCGTATTCTGAACAACCCAGGGTTTAAAGAGCAATACAAACTCCTGACCATTTTCTTTAATAAGAGCGAGAGCTGGATACAAACTTAAAAGTGAGAAAAAGTAACAAAACTGCAGTCCTGGTGCTGACCTTCATCTGAATGGTGATTATATGATACAATTCTTTCACGTTTCATGTATGATCTGTGAAAAACTTTTGACAGTCGAAAACTCCGCGCGGAACCCAAGTGTATTCATGTTTTAAAAGGCAATTTTGCGAGAATTTCGCACATAGATGAATGCGCCGCTTTTTTTTGTGGTTAGCAAAACGAAATTAAAGCTAATCAAAATGATACGAGCGCGTTCATTTGAAATTCTCAGGAATAAAACGTACAATACATCTATTTGTGTGAGTTTTGGACCAGGTATTCTAGATGCGGTTATATCACACACACAAAAAAAACATTTCTTGAGTTGGAATTCAAAACGTGTTATTCACGAAAGAAGTTTAATCCCAGATTACTCCTGCAGACGATTGACGCTTGGCAGGGGTTGTACACATGTAATTCAAACCATTCCGGACCCCCGGGTTGTATATCAGGATTGTTTATTAATAGAAGTTCCAATTTAGCACCACATTAGGGGTTGAAACTCTACAAGCACGCGATCCATGAGGATATTTTAGGATTGCAGATAAGATAAATGAGTGAATATACTTGGTAACAATGAAAACTAAACGTCAGAAGGAGAGTCGCTCGTGTACAGTAAAATCTTAAATGTAAATTAAAAATCACGAGAAGCTGTTTTGTAATGTTGTCTAAAAGCTCACAACAATTAAGTGCTTCCGGCAAGGAGCAGTAAAGCTTAAGAGAGAGGAAATTTGAATAGCCCCCTTTTAAGTGAAAAACCGTTTAGGAATGTTTGTCTGAAAGCTAATTACACTTACTTTAAGTGTTTCCGGCCGAAAAATAAAAAGGGAAAAGGAACAAACGACCCTTCTCTCGAATGAAAGACTTTTTGAGAAATTTGGGAAAAAAAAAAAGAGAGAGAGAGCGAGAGAGACGTAGAGGTCACTTGGAACTTAAATACGAATAAAATCTGATGTGAGATCTTTGAATTTTTCAAGGCAGTCAGATACCCAGACAGTGCGATAATTTGATTAGGACACAGTTTCTTTTTTAACAGTTTAACACATCTGCAATGCATCTAACAGATCAGCGGGTTTGAGGTGGAGACATTCAGTACTTCAGAGATGGAATTTTTGCAAAACCCCACACAACAATCCGTTTGAATTTTCGACGACCTTTTTTTTCATCATTATTAATTTCAGAAATGGCAAGAACGATGGGAATCCACACTGTTTTCAGAGGAAAGTTCCCGTCAATCATAGTTCACTCGATCTAATCCTCCCGAGTTTTTTGTTTGGTGAACTCTTGTCGGGGTTTTTTTGTTTTCTCTTTCGCTCTTTTTTTGTTTTTTTTTTTGTTTTGCCTTACTCCGTTTCAGTTCAGAAAGAAAGCTGATGACCGATTCATGAGTGAACATCTTATTCCGAAAAAAGGAAAAAAGCCACCATGGGGACCAGACAGTACTTATTGCTGTAGGTGGAGGAGGGGGGAATTTGGGTGGGTCACATGGTTTTCAGGAGGAACGGAGGGGGAGGGGAAGGGGTCAGCCATCGTCAACAAAGTACAAAGGGGATAACTTCGATGAACCTTCCTATGATCATAAATTTAAGAAGAAAATTTCTTTTCTCTTGCTCTAAACCCTTAAAAAATAAAATATTAAGTTTCAACGGTCCATTTCAAAGAACTAATCAAAGAATTTCAAAAAAATTAAACACTTGGAATTGATTCAAACAATAGCAGTACTGATTAGTTGTGATTCAGTGCCCTGTAGTATACATCCACTTTTAAATTTTAAGCTAGGGATTTTATTACTATGGGTTCCACCTCTTTACCTTTCTTTTCAGGGTGTTATTTTCTATCTTTTTTTCTTATACCTTTGGTACTTTGAATAAAGTAGGTATGCATGTAGGTATGTTTTTATTCTTGTGAAATAAAGTAGAGTAGGAACGGCACACAAACCAACAAACCTGGGACAGACATAAGGCTTTTCACCGGAATGAATCCTCTGATGGACATTGAGCTGATGGAGTCGACGGAAAAATCTTCCACAATCCTCACACTTAAACTTCTTTATATCTAAGGAGACAAGCAAAAAAAAGGGGACAAAGCAGGTTAAAACTGAACAAAGTGATAAACAACATTCAGGGTTCGACACCAATGGTAGCCCACTAGCCACAGACTAGTAAAAATTCAATTTTGGCTAGTGGTTTTCAATTTCCACTAGCCAGTTTGGCTAGTAAACAAACTAAAATTGTCATAACATCTGAGATGTATCCAGCCTGTTGCCAGGCACTTGGCTAGTAAGTTGAAAAGTTAGTGTCAAGCCATGAACATTGAGAATTTCCATTGTTTTGGTTATGGTACATGCCACTTAGCTTTGCCATATACTCTTTTTGAGTATCCACGACAATTAAACCCTTTCTCTCCAAGAAAAGACCCACAAGTAACTGCTCACAAAATGAATGCATTAATTGCCATGCAGGAGATGAGGAGAGATATATCAACCACAAGATGGAGCATGATTGACTAACCAAAATCTCAGAGCCAAATATATGAGAAATGTATGGCAGAAAGGAGAATTGATATAAAGATCAAAAGTTCCCTTTGGGTTCCCTAAGACTGCTCTCTAGGTGATTGGTCAGTCAGTCAGAGGGAGATACAAGATAAAGTGTGATTGGACACCTAGTTCTCACAAAACAAAATTGTAAAAAATGTATGGAAAGAAGTCAGGTGAATTGATATAAAGATCAAAACTTCCTTAGGGGTACCCTGTCTCCTTCCTACATGACTGTACCCTTTAGACCTTGTTGGATGGCCATAAATGTAGCGAGGATGGGTAACAACAAATGGCTACACAAAGACAGAAAAATTAATGGTGCATTGTGGCTGTAATTTTCCCAACCAATGGCTCCTTAACAGGTCTATCTGAAGTTTACAGGTCATTTGAAGTGTCAGGGTATGCAAAATACATAAGTCCAGTTCTCGCTGCAAAATGCGAGAGAAGTACTACACTTTACAATACTGACCTGTATGAATCTGCAAATGTTTCTTGAGATCTGAAGGATACTTGAAGCTTTTGTTACACTGTTCACAGACCCTTGGACCATCACTTAGTTTGCGCTTCCCTGTTGGGGCCCGAGCAGCAATGGGCTCTGCACAGTTATTGAATAGAAATTAGTTGTAAATTCTATTCAATGCACAGTAGAGTAAGTAAAATCACTTGGTTACTGGTAAATGTTTGGAGATGCAAACAGTTGGCATACAGGTGGGGCACTGAGCTAAAAATTCTATGAAGTTTTCATTATCCTTGCAGAGATGAGCCATATCAATCTATCAGTTTGTTAAGAAGACGTCTAAAAAGTGTGACACAGATATTTTTTGATTAATAAGCTTATTAACTAACATTGAGCAGAAGTATCACACGGGTAACAATTTGTCTCATTGCTAAGCAGCAATTTTCCTTCTTATCAACTTTTTCCTGAAATCTAGTGTGGCTGGCATAAATGAATGTTTTGTTTGTGCACAGATAGCTGCCTACAATACAGCCTACATGTACACGTACTCAAATCTGTAATACCGTGCTTACTGAGTGAAACACGCCTTACTTTGTACTCCAACAGTTTCTTCCCCTTCTTCCAGTTCAGTGCCATTGTCACCTTGTGTCACAGCTTGAGCTCCAGCTACCACTGCAACAGTATCTGCACCAATATCAACAGTAGCTTCCACTGATAATTCACCAGCTCCACTTGAACCTACAAGAATCATCCCCCCTTAAAATATCGATACTTAGAATTTGGAAAACTATTACAGTGTGCACCCTATAATTTCAAGTATGACAGGTAAAAGAAAGTTTCAATCAGGTAGAGCAATCATTTTGCCTGTTGTATTTTCAAGAATTCCAAGCAATTTTGGGCAGTAATTAAAGGCACTACAAGCAATAAATTTTACCACTTACATGTACCTCCTAAAAAGAGGGACACTGCATTAGCAAAGGATGTTGTCTACAAAAAACCTTAATTTCCAGACTGAACTACCTCAAAATGTGACATGTATAGTAGCTTGAAGGGGAAATTACTTATTGATGAAACAATTTGATTAGATCTTTACCAGTGACCTGCCTTGAGTTGTGCTTGGAAATGTTTACAATCTGTCATGTTAAAACAATATTTATGAAGACCAATTCCTCCTAAATGAAACACCACAGATTTGCATACAATTGAAGAAAAAATTTCATCAAAATGAGATTTTAAGATAAAATGTACCTTCAGCTTCAGCACCAACATCAACGGTCACTGTCTCCTGACCACTTCCTGCAGAGCCATCATCAACAGTATGAAGACCTGCTGTCAACACCTGCAGAGTTTCAGCAGACACACTAACAGCATTCCCTTGGCCCACACCTCCAGCTGGAAGATTTGAAACAAGAACTGGTCGGACTATGGGTACGCCATTTTGATTGACAATTAGAAAAGATCCAGTTCCAGAGTTTGGATCTGTGATGATAGCAGCTGGAACAGAGCCTGCTCCACTCTGCATTCCTGATACAACATCTTGTAGAATCGAGGCCAAAGATGCTGGGGTCTCTGCCCCTGAGGTGGCTGCACTAGTAAGCAGCATACTAGTAGCTTGGGAAGGCTGAGTGAACTGCTCACTGGTAGTAGCAATGTAAGTGGTCTGCTGCTGTCCAATCTCTACAGTAGTACTTTCTTGACCCTGCTCCTGGTTAACTGCTTCCTGTCCCATCTCCATGGCAAGGAAAATGGGCTGGAGATTGGCATAAGTGCGCTGCTGTTCACTGGTCAATTCAGCAGTGCTACTGTCTGTGGCCTCGGCAGCAGCTGGTTCACTTGGTTCACTGGCATTGCTTCCTACATTGTTAGCAGCATCCTCCTCCTTTATTTCCTGTGGCTCCTCCTTAGCTTCAGCAGTCTCCTCTACATGGAAAAAACATGGGTTTGTTTGGTCAAATTTCGTAGGACATCTGAGGAGACACAACCCTGTTTACCATCCATCAGAACTACAAAGTTCATCAAAGGTTTCCCACATTTCTTAACAACGTTGATTCCAACGTTCCTTGTGGGCATCAGGTCTGCAGGCATCCTTTTCCTAGAAAACTTTGATAACTTTTGTTGCCAACAAAAATCATATTACATAATTCATTAAAAATTTGTATTTTATCTTTCTGTCGCATTTTCATTAAGTTCCTCTGTTTTCACATGCATTGTTTTCATCAATATTCCATTATCTTTTGCACAAATTCCCTTTGTTTATAATATTCCTATAAGTTCTTAAATAAATTTTAACCATTCAGCTTTATCACTTAACTGTTCTAAATCACTTTTCTCCATTGCTTTAAATCATTTTATACTACCATTAGCCAGCCATTTGGCTCTGGAGCTTAGACAGCATTTGTGTCTTTCCTAGACCTTTGCTTTGTTTTCTCATTTGTCAATTTTTTATCCCATACTTGTAATAACTTATTATTTGTTAGTTCATTTCTGCAACAGCTTCAGTTGTTCACTTTGCTCTCTATTCTTCACTTTGTTTTGTTTGGAAGTATTCTCAAGAGCATGTTTTTGTTTAGACATATACAAGTATTTTTGGCTATCATACTGTAAGTTTCATAACATGTGCTGTTTGCACATTTTTTAACACTCTTCCAGGACAAGTTTTTTTTTGCTTCAAGCAACTTAGAAGCCATTTTTTTCCACTTGCATTTTCATTTAAACAACTAACAACCATGCACATTGGCAACAGAGCATTTGTCTTCCTCTTTTTTTAATCTCAAAAAGGTGGCGGTGGGGATTGGGTACAGGCTCTCTTGAGAGCATGGCACATTTCAGGGGCATGTAAAAAACAAGGACCCTCCAGCAACTCAGGAAACTAACCATTTAATTGAGTAATAAAGACAATGCCGACATCTCATGTCACTAAAAAAATCTCAAGAGTCAAAAGATTGTATCATATAATCAGTTGTACATCATTCTAGTAAATGCTTGACATGTTTACTTCAATCATCAACTTTAGTCATGGATGTGTCAAATTTCATTAAGCCTGATTACTGAGCAATTACCAACAGAACATGTTGCATTTTCATTCCTTTCTTCTGCCTCTATTTTTCCCTTTGAATTTCATAAGAGCTAAGGGAGCTTCAAATTGTTTTCCCACAGCACAATTAATAAGTGGAGCACAACTAAAAAAATACATATATTTTATTAGACGTTTTGTTGTGAAGTATTGCCGAGTATTTTTTATGAGTTGTGCTGTAGGGCACAACTCGTAAAAATTTGACGAGCCCATAGGGCAAGTCAAAATACAAACAACAAGTAAAAATATTCAGTGATACTGCACAACAGAGATTTATTATCCAACATGCCAAACTGTTAATTCAGTGCGGGTGAATTTCGCAGATATTTCTGGAGTACAAATATCATATATCATATAATATTTGTACTTTTCTTGTGCATTACTTCTTCTCTATGAAACACATTTGGATATTCATATGAACATCATATGTATTAATCAGCAATACTATACATCAAAACATCAAATATGATATATGTAGTGATTAGTAAGTGGTACTTGTTGGGGAATGATTTTAGAGACTGTAATTTACCTTTACCACAAAAGTAAACCAATTTTGAGAAATTTGATAGAGAATTTTTAGTCTTTGAATTTCATCAGGTTTTGAAGACAAATCTATTTTGCTTGGATGAAAAACTCTTTCTTTCTCTAAAAGTCAAACCTTTTAAAATTGATAATACTACAACTGGAGGTACAAAGAAAAATTTCGCGAAACAATTTGATCCATGGCTACTCATTGAAATTAAAATGGAAATGAAAATCGAATAAATTTATTGTATTTTTAAATAGGAACAAGGCATCACAGCAGCGTAATATAACTTGTTTACACTTTGCCTATTTGAAGTCAAACAATGAAATCAATAACATTTCTCATTCCTCTAAAACTTAGGTATCTCTGAAAGTCACAAATGTAACATAACTACACCGAGGAAATACGCAAAATTTTGATGATCAAGTTGATGAGTTATACATGCAAATTGCTTGACTGCGTTATGCAAATTTCTTCACAGAAAATGGCGCAAAATACACGTCCACCATCTTGTACATTCTTACATTTAATTGCCTCTAAAGGAGGCTGTACAAAACTTCGACTTTGGTGCATTACTTTCACAACTGTAAGTCAATGGAACATATGTACGATTTTTCTCTTGTGGAACAAAGATTGATGCCTGAAACCGTCCTTAAAATGGGTCGAAATCGACTTGAAATGTTACAAAGCGTCATGCACAACGAAGACAGCCGAAGAAGGACCTTCGACAACAACATCGACAACGATACATGCTACAGCAAAGTCGGTGAAAAGTCAGGGTAATTCATCTATCGTAGAATGATGCCCACTACAAGACATAAATTCTCCTCTTGTTTGTAAGATTGAGAAAGATTGGGGAAAGATATTAATTGTAGAGAAAGAAGTCTGGGGCGACCGCCATAACTCTTCAATCTTTTGAAGACCTGGGAAAGACTGCCTCCTAGAGGAAGGACTGGGTACCGGATAACAACAACACTTTTAGTTCAGTTTTGCAGTAAGATATACCTTCCTAGACAGTGCAAGATCTTCTCGAGGAAATGGGTTGTTGTTATGAATGATTAACGCGAAATATGATGACGAAATGCTCGCCATCTCGATCACCAAGCGAGGCAAGTGTTCGCTCGCTCGTTTGCCCACTTTACCAAAGTCTGTTGCCGTTTTTACTCTTTTAATCCTACCTTCTTTGTTGGCAATCGCCGACTCAGCAATGGCAGCGAAGGATGCTAGATCACCACCATCTTCAAAAGACATGATCACTGACCTCTGCAAAGGACGCTTCGGTCTGTAGACGGCCTAAAACGAAACGACGCCATCATCAAAATATAGAACTGAATTATCGAAATTAAAGTCATTTCAACGTTAAATTTAAGGGCTGTCTAGCGTTTAAAACTCTTACTTCTTAAATTTATGCCCCAAAGGTATCGTCTAGGTACCTTAAGTCTTTCGAACAGCCTTGAATTTAATTTATTAGCGCGACTACAGACGAATCGGCTGATTGTTAGCACGAGGCAATGAAGTTAAGGCCCGCCATGTAGGTAGATCACGTGATTCCGTGATCGGCGACATGATTGGCTGAAATATGTTTCCTTTGAAAGACTCTCTTTACAAGGCGAAAAGCTGCTTTAAGAAGATACAACTGACCTATATATCAGGATAATTCGTGATTTTTTAATTAATGAGACAAACTTATCCGTTTTATTAGTTGTTATTCATTTACCCTTTTTTCTCGTTTAACGGCTTGCTGGCACAGAGATCCAACACTTATATATGGACACCCACCAATGTACTAGTACCGCGGATCTTCATTGATGACCCCAAAATACTTCACACCCTTAAATTATAAGAGAATTTTCGTCTTGACAGGACTTTGAAAGAATGGGACGGGAGAGTGAAGTGTACTTCGCGGAACGCGCAAAAGCAGAGTCTGGACAGCTTTTCTTTTTTTTTTTTTTTCTTTTAAGAAGAATTAGTCTTATTTTTCCAATTTCTCTTCCAAGGCCCATAAAGCCATGAACTACCAGTGGGTTAAAAGGGAAAAAGTTTGAAATGGGTTTTACCTTAACTGCTGTTTCGTTGAGCAAAATGGCGTAGCTTTATTTTGATTACAAGACTCGTGATTGACATTAATTCCGTACAGTTCAAAAGTGTGAGCTTACTATGTTTTAAACCACTTTCTTTAAGAAGAATCGAAGAGAGAGAAGTCGTTTTCACAGTCTGTTCAAAACTCCACTGACCTGAATCTGCTAACCTGTAGAGTGAGACTTGTTTTTTACGACCCGTCGCAGGGGTAAGTTTCCAATCCCGTTCACTGAATTTTGCTAAGAGATTAAGACTTGATTAACGTTTTTCTGATCGCGAATTATAAGCTTTGTGGTGTTCGTCCGTGCTGGCCAATCCCCAGTAAAGAAACAATTGCCATCTAAATAAGTAGAATCAGTGCTGGAGGAAAAGTCTGAACCATTTTGGCAGAAAATTGATCAGAAATCCCCGAATTTTTTCACACATTCTGGATAGACAAAAACAAACGCTCCCTTCTTTCACAAACCTCTTTACTTCATTCAACTGAAATTGTATTTCAAACAAGGTGAGTTCCACTTTTTGCTGTTTTTTGTTTCCAGCCTTCTGTTTGTTTATCGCCCAGCAATACTGCTGTAAGCACTCATCACTCAGCCACAAACTGAGTCAAGGACGTCTTTATTTCAATTCAATTCACCCGTAATAAATCATTTAACGAAAATTTAAGTTATTAATCAAAACCATATTTCAAAGTATCCCTACATAAATTAATAAATATATTTCCGTTAGATGAGCCCTTTCCCATTTCCCATAGCAATCCTTTCCCATTTCTAAGGAGGGAAGCAGGAATAGAGAATCATGACTGGAATAGCACCCATGAAAAGGCAGAGGCTAAAGGAAAGGGAGTAGAATAGCTTCTATACACCCTCCCGCTCAAATCAGATGGAAGGGGGCTGGGGATGGGAAAGATTACTCATTTTTCTGGGGGTGGTTGACCTGGGTGGCAATAACATTTCAGGGTGTCAATCAAATCTTTTAGCTCAGCAGAAGGCTTTTCTTCTCCTCTCTCCCATCCCCCCTCCCACTCCCATCCCCCTTCCTTCACCGAAAAAATGCCTTTGCAAAATTGCCACCATAGTTACTATGTTGCCACTTTGCAGAAAAGAAACAGAAAAGACTACTACCCATGATTTCCATAACTCAGTTTAGTTCTACATATTAACATTACAACCTCTACTTCAAATTTTCTACACGATACAATTTCACAAGAATGAATCCATCTTCCTTATGGCTAGCTCTGTAAAAGAACAAGATGAAGAAAGTCCTATGTCTTGATTCTGAATAATCATATTGCATTCATACTGACCAATCAATCTTAAGTTAAGAACACGCAAGCCTTAAAAAAAAAAACTAATCATTGCCCTCAGTTTGTGCAATTCTTGATTTGTAAAGTCCAAGGACATAAAAAAGGGTAATGTTATGTTGTTTGCTATACTGTTTGATAAATTATTACCAGCACGATAAGATTCAGAGAATAATAAGAATAATAAGAATAATAATAATAACTTTCATTTATATAGCATTCATATCCTGAGCTCATGGCACTTTACAACACTTTGCGGGGGACTTTACCAGACTTCTAAGCAGTTTACAATCAAATAAAGGCGAATCTAACAGATGCCCCCTCCCCCCAATTCCCAGTAAACAGGCCAGACCACATCACAGTAATCTCGTGAGTGGGTTCTTTAACATCTTCTGCTTAACCAAATTAACTAATTAATAGATGCAGGAGCTAACCGGGAGGCAGTTAGAGAACTGTGAACACACCTAAATTTGATTCTAATACGCCTTGAAATCATATACTAATCAATCAAAATGACATTCAGGAAACATGAGCAAATCTGATTACAGTTGCTCTTTGCAGTTTAGTTTTCTCACACCTGTTTGGGTTTTAGAACATGAACAAAAAAAATCATAACATTTCTGGTGTTCAGTTCAATGTTTTCATGGTTTTGCAGCAAGACATAAGTTTATTTTTCTATACATTATTGAGGCAACCAATATCCTTTGAAACGATATAATTATAATTTTTCTAATGACCCACTACCCATCCTAACAGTTAAATTGTAAAAATGACCTGAGAAATATGCAAATAATAAAGTGAAATGATAAGCATTGCAAGTCAGTTATGTGCAACAACCATAGTACAACGCAATGCATTTTACTGTATCCTAGAAAATTACTTTAGCCTGAAATTAATTCAGAATTGACTATTGTACAGTACGTATGCATTTAGTACATAGTTTCAAAGCAAGCATCACAGCTAAATTAACAGTTATATAGTTGTTAATATCATCCCTGAATTGTCATTCTACTTTTTGCCCTTCTTCTCCATACAATGCTTTCACAAATTGGTGTCCAACGATGCAAAATATTTTTCCAACTAAAAATATTAATAATGGTTGATGACAACAAGCTATGATCCGATAATATGGTCCACTGAATGGGTCACTAACAGCTGGACAAACCATGTTATTCAGGTTTACCTGAAGGATCTGCGGAGCAACATTACACAATCATTTTATAACCATTTTTCCTCCCATTACTTACCCTTTTTTCACACCTATAATAATATTTTGAACATGGTCGAGACCTTATGCATCTTTGCCTCATTTTTTTTTTTTTTTGTGGACTTCAAAAAAAAAATTTAATGTAATTTGCATTAAATGAACATCTCATCCTGGGGAAAGGGGACCGTTACAATCAAAACTTTGGCAACTATGAGAGTCAGTATATCATATTCAGACCCACCCCTTAGCTTTACATTCCAATTGAAAGTTCCAGTTGTTCCATATCACCACACCCTGGGGAAATCAGGGTCAGCCCCAGTAGCTGGACAAGTTCAATCAAACTCAGCATCTGAACAACTGCACACCCACCCCTCCCCTAACACAACAACAGTCAACTGATATCAAGTTGGGTTAATGTTGTGTTTGGGGAGAGGTGGGTGGGTAGCTGTTCAGATCCAGCCATTGATCTGACAAGTTATGGTCTTAAAGCCCTACCAGAATTTTTTTTTTCTGGTCACTATTTGAAGGAAAGCTGGTTCTTGGTTCTAAACCTTTATTTGAAAAATGCTTTGACTTTGTATTGCAAGGTCAGAGGCATGGATCTGAGGTATTGATATTAACTGTTTAACTCCCAAGAGTTACCAAGACAGCACTTGCAATAGCAACACAATATCAAGCAGACAAGTCAAGGCTGTGCTCTAAGGAAAATTGAATGGAGCCCAGTGCTTTGAAACCATGAAATACAGGGTGCCCAGCATATGCTTTGTATGAAAAAACTAAAATTCCTGCGTCATCCAAGAGCAAAAGTAAGGCGCCAGGGGCCACCGGGTGCTGCTATACCACAGCCTTACAAGTGATGAGAATAAAGAAAAATATCAATTGGGGGATTATTAGATGATCTAATACCAAATTCTCTGAACTAATACCATAAGAATTGTATGATAGAGAGTAAGGAGAATTACGAAATAAGATCTTGGGAGTGAAAGCCTTAATTATCAGTGTGAATCAGTCAAGGCACAAACATGTTATTAAGGTACACTAAAATGAGAAACTTTTTTTCCTGTAAACACTTTTCCTTGCCCGCTTTTTTGATCTAGCTATAGAGAACACCTAGGAAAACATTTTTCTCTCTCAGAGTTCATAACTTACCATTCCTAGTGGCTGAAGAAACAGCAGCATATAAAAAGAGAAAAAGGTGAAAGTCAAAGTTGCCCAAGTGAAGTCCCACACTGGTTCCAAAACAAATGGACCTGTTACAAGAAAATAAAGAAGAAGAAAAAAAGAGTTGAGAAGTTTTTAACTGCTAAAAGAATTAAGCAATATCTTTCAAAGATTATGACAGATCAGCCACAACATTAGCTAGTTTCAAAAACTTCATACATAAGCGTGACCTCAGCTCTCTATTAGATGATGGCTGCAGGGGCTGTGCTCTTTGTAATTCTTAATTCATTTCATTTCTTTTTTTTCATGCATGATATGACTTAATTTTATTCTTAAGTAGTTAATATTCTTTGTAAATAATGTTTATCCATTTTATTTGTGTTCCCACATTAGTATGGGATATCTCCCAAACTAGAGGGTTCTTTGACGCGTTAATAAAGTTTCTATCTATCCATCTATTCTTCAAATTTTAACCTGTAAACCCTTAAGTGTGATAGAATTCTAATTTCTACTTGCAGTATCACCCCTACATCAAACATTTAGGTCACAAGAACAAGGGAAATGATCACCAACTAAAGAAGCTCTTGATTGTTAAACAAATTCTCCTTGTCAACACCTTAGGAAATGTATAGAGAACAGTATGGAGACTATGTACACTGATGTAAAGGTGTAAAGGATTAGAAGGGATAAATTCCTCTAAAAAGTGTCCTTGGCATTCCACAATCATAACTGTAAGTCCCTACCCCTTGCTATAGATTTAAATTAAACTTCCAAACCAACACTAAAACTCTGGATGGCTCACACAGAGGAAGTAGTTGAATGACATCAAATCCCAGAAGAGATTAACATTTGAATTCTTGCTATAATATTCATACAACTTCAAATTACCAGGAAGAAGTTATTACCTTGATCTAACACCAAATTCTGGTAAGTTGCTTTTAAGGAAATGTGTAACAATGAGAGGGGAGAATTAATAATAACAAAAGACACATACCTTGAAGGGAAACAAGAAAAAAAGGCACAACAATGGCAATGAGGATGTGCTGTATCCAGTAAGTTGCAACTTCAAATGGTAACTGAAAATAACATTTTATTTTTTAAAACTGGAAAAAATTTTCTTTGCTCAACTGTGAGTGCTTCTTAATTATTGGAACTAAATGTGACCTACTAATAAAACTTTGGAGGGAGTCTAAAATGCCTACCAGGTTTTGATGAATGTTGTTATTCACCAGACTGAGATGAGAGAAGATAAAATTTAAGGTGAAGAAGTTATAACATGATATTCATGTCAATAAGTTGAAATCTTTGAGTTGTTTGTCTGTGTTGTGGATGCAATAATTATTATAGACTGAATTAACTGAGCAGAAGTTTTCAGATTGCAATACAATCCTGAAATTTACCAACGGAAGGAAAATGAAATTAAAAAAGTAAGTATTTCAGTACATTATTACACGACTCGGGCAGTCAGAGGGCCAATAACTAAAATCAACCAATCAAAATGCTCTATTGCCGGTCCAATATTCTCCAGTGTTGGACCGGGCACTGTCCTGAATGGTCCCGAATGATACCACACTTGTGTCCCTTTGAACTTCAGTCGTATAATAAATCTCTTATTAACCAAACTTGCTCGGGACTGTACTGGAAGAATATCGGCCCTCGGTCTTTTTTGTACGGCCGATATTCTCCCAGTACGGCCCTCGCGCTTGGTTAATAAGATATATGTACTCCAACTTACCAATCTAGTATTGACCACTGGAAGCAGGATTGCTTGAAGAGCACCAAACAATAAGTAATTGTGAATTCTATGATCAAGAAAGGGAATCTTAAGCTATGACGTCCAAACGTTCCCACTATAAATGTCCACAGCAGAAAACAAGCTAGAACTATCCCACAAAACAGCTTTAATTTCGGTAAACATGAGACTTGGTTCTCACACGTGGTCTTATTATAAATCTCTTGCAGAAAAGCAACTGCCTGGTTCACTGAACAAATAACCACTGACCTACCATGAACATTACACCTAGTTTAAGACAAACAGCCAGTTTGATGCAAGGTCCACTGACTGTTAAGTCCATTTGGGGAAAAAGGGTGATTTACATTGTCTACTTTATCAGTTTTATCATTGATAAAAACAAAATGTCTGTGCAGAAAAGAGGTCTGGCAAGTTACCCTGAAGCCTCAATGGACTTCTTTTGACAAAAATTTTCAACCAGCTGAAAAAATAGTGTTGAAAAAATGTTGAAAATACAGCCCATTCCATAGCAGACCAGCAAAGAATCTTTACATCTGAGTACATATTATGCACCCATTACTGATCATTCCCTTAGGGGTTATGTTGGAGAAGGGAAACCCCCAGGAAAGGGAGAGGACTTTGTGAAAGCCCCATCCAAAGTTCTAAATTTTGCTTTTCCAGATAATGAATTAGGCAGGATAATCAAAGTTAGGCATTAGTAGAGGTTAAATTGGCCCATGCAAAGATATGGTCACCTACCACCAGTAAATATTTTGTTCTATAGAAAGTGACCAACTGCTCTAACTTGTCAACTTCAACTTTTTCCACTTTTTTGGATGCATAAGGGCTCTAAGCATCACCATTTATACCTGTAATCTTGTGCTCAGCTCAGTTCAAAACTAAAAGTAATGACTCATTTCTAATGACAAGGTCACATAATTTTCCCCATAGCAAGGCAATGGAGGACAAATTCTCTTCTCACCTCTCCCAGGTTAAAAGATATTTGTTTAAATTTCCTATAGCAATTCTGTAAAAGGGTCACTCACTGCCAGTGACCATGACCTCCATGGGAAAATGCATGTTAATATAAATTTCTTCGGTTTTAGGTACTTACCTAAAAACACAAAGTACACGTTTACTTGGAGGTTCTACTAACAGATATATCTATGAGGGAAAAAAATTAATCTTATGCATGTTTACACGCAGCCAAACTTGGTGATTTTATTATAGTTTAGATGAATTTTGCACATCATACTTTTGTGCATGGTTAATGATTTAAACCAGAGGTAACAGTCCATTTTTAGTGTACTCAATGACATCAACAAACTATGGAAAGTAAAAGTCACTACCAAAACATATTCTTTGGGAAATATTTCCATTTATAACCCACCCATTAATTTTGGCACGATTTTATTGGTTACTTTACATCACGTGGTGCAAAATCACAGGACAGTTATCGCACAATAACCCCTGTCCACCTCGATATTTGTCCTCCGATTTTTTCCGTGAAAAAGAAACATAGTCAACACAAGAGTTTCAACTTTTCCAGTCTCCTATTTACATGGAAGG